AAAAAGCTAGTTTTCTTCTTCTCAGGCCCAAGAGCTATCTACCATCCAACATTCGTGACCCTGGCATGTCCAGATCATGTGATTTTCTGCCCGATTCCTAGCCTTGCTTTGCTCCAAAGCCCGTGCACATTTGTTGGGTAATCAGGTGCCGAGACTTGACCTCTGGCTGCATGAGGAGTACTTCCGGGTCACGGCATCGCGCCTTCCTGTCCCGTAACGACGCGGCATCTTGAGCAGTTTTCCGTCTTTGAAGGAGTTTTGCAGCGATTCAACAGGCGACTCGGCCCGGACTGTGTATCAACTAACTTCCAGGTAGGAAAAGTCGGCATGTAGTTGGTATTCAGAGGTTTGTAGAGTTGGCAAACAACGGTTCATAATATTTGTGTGGCGGCGTGCGTTTGGACCAGTGTGCGTGTGATCTCGGCCGTGCTGTTTATAATATAAATCATTCATAAATCATTCAATCATTCATCATGAAAGCTCCTTGGTCGATTCAAACATTTGAAACTCCTTGTTTCGGTGCAGCTGCGGAAAGAAAACTCGTAGTGTGGATGTGGTCGTGGTGTAACAGTGCTAACTGACCATGCTAAATGGTCGTGCGACCTTTTAGTGTAGTGGTTAGCGTTGGTGACCGCCAAGCGGACTACTCGGGTTCGATTCCCGGTTGTGACATGCTCGCCCCTTTCGGTTTTTACAGTGGCGCCCGATGTGGGCCCTGTGAGTACTGGCACAGAGGATAAGTGTGGCAGCTCCAGGGATGTCGGACTCGGAAGATTCGAGGACGAATCTTGAAAGAAAAGGGGGAGTAGTGTAACAGTCCTAACTGACCATGCTAAATGGTCGTGCGACCTTTTAGTGTAGTGGTTAGCGTTGGTGACCGCCAAGCGGACTACTCGGGTTCGATTCCCGGTTGTGACCTGCTCGCCCCTTTCGGTTTTTACAGTGGCGCCCGATGTGGGCCCTGTGAGTACTGGCACAGAGGATAAGTGTGGCAGCTCCAGGGATGTCGGACTCGGAAGATTCGAGGACGAATCTTGAAAGAAAAGGGGGAGTAGTGTAACACTAACAGTGCTAACTGACCATGCTAAATGGTCGTGCGACCTTTTAGTGTAGTGGTTAGCGTTGGTAGGATAAACCCCACTGTTACAGTGGAATTGAGAAATTTCTAGATTCTACGTTTGGACGTTTGGTTCCCAAATTATAGTTTACAGAAGAAATAAGAAGTTGCTGCCTGGAAGTTGAAAACGTAAACAGTGAGGATCGGTAGTGGGTTACGAGATTATGTTGTGTGTCGCATTGAATATGAACTATTCTCGTAAACAAGTGTTCAATTTTACGGACCGAATAAACGAATTCACTGTTATGAAGGGATTCTGGTGTTGGTGATGAGGAAAGCGTAAATGTAATGAGAATAAGCTAATCTTGAGTATACTGTAAACCCCTACGCGAGCCCCGACAAATTCTTACATCTGGATTCCATCTCCGCCCTGACGCCAGACGGTCTCATCAAAACATTTGACAAATGTTTGATAGCTACAGTATGCAGTACCAAGGAGGTTTTAAAAATAGTACTTAGTATTATTGGCAGTTGAGTATCCATACGCAATAGGTATGGACAAACAGATGCATGTTAATAAGCGTAAGCAGAAGCCCTCACTCACTCACTCAGCTCCGCATGCCCCTCCTGGGGGCGTAGCGCCTCTGCATACGGCCCTCCAGGTCTTCCGGTCTCTGGCTGCCACCCAGCCCAGACCCTTGCATGAAAAGCATGAAGGCTAAGGGACAGTTCACTAACCGTTGCAATGTTACCCTCAAAGACCCTGCATAGCATCAGTAACATCATTAAGCAAACAGCTCACTATTTGCCCGTCTTTCATGGTGTATCAGGGGTTTCAGTTCGGCCAGTTGTTTTTTAGTAACTTTTACAGACGGTGAAGGTCGATAAACATTTGTTAACTGAAAGCTCCTTGGTTAACTATAACATGCACTACATTAGTAGACGCCGTCTCGATCAGACTGATCAAAACTCAACAGAAACGGGTCAATCCCAACAGATTTTATTTTGTTCCAGTAACGAGAGGTATGAGTGGTGGTAACCTATTCGTGTAATAGGACAAAGGACAGTTTACCTAACGTTGGTCGGCCATTTCAATGCTTGGAAACTCGCTGTAGAGATGCACCCCAAAATGGCGTCGCACGGGACATGAGGGGTCGTGACGTCATGATGACGTGTGGTGAATAAGCTCTATACACAGTACTACTGTTTGATTCGGACTTGGATTTATGTTTATATGATTTCTGTACCTATGTTTATGTTCATGTTTATGTTTTGGTGTCTTATAAGCCCATATGGGCTGAACGACAAAAGTCGCAAGACAGGTAAATAAAAATCCATTCATTCAAAAATTCATTCATTCACTACTACTCTCCATGCAAAGTTCGGGTTTTGCTTTATTTTTGGCATTTTTTAAGCATTTTTTAACCTTTTTATCGGGGTTTTCTTTTTTGCACTGGTATTTTTGGGGGTTTGGTAAAAAAAATCCAGTTTGTTTATTGAGATCTCCATTAGTATGGTAAATTCCATACTATTCTTCGTGAAGTCAAGTGCAATAAAGAAACCCCGCTAGAAAAACTAAATTTAAAACACTCCAAATATAACCCTAAACCCAAACCTCTCCTTGGAGAGTAAGTACTACCGGGTAACATATTGCAGCATGTTTTATAGAACGCTTGTTCCATTTTTTACAGGGGTTGATTCAGCTCTCGTTGACATGGCAACAACAGATAGCACAGCAGGCTTGGATGACGTCAAGAGTGGATCAGCAGGGGGTTCTGCCAACACTGTTTCCACCTGGCAAGGAGCAAGCTGTGAGAAGTTTGGAGAGGAAACCGGGAGGCAGGACAAAGGTGTGAAAGTGTTCAGGTGTGGGGAGTGTGTCAAGCAGTTTGGTTGTCTTAGTGCTCTGAAGACACACATGCGGACTCACACAGGGGAGAAACCCTACAGGTGTGGGGAGTGCAGCAAGCAGTTCAGTGTGCTGTGTAATCTGAAGAGACACATGCGGACTCACACTGGTGAGAAACCCTACATGTGTGGGGAGTGCAGCAGGAAGTTCAGTCAGCTGGAGCATCTGAAGACTCACATGCAGACTCACACAGGTGAGAAATCCTACATGTGTGGGGAGTGCAGCAAGCAGTTCGGAATGCTGGGTGATCTAAAGAAGCACATCAGAACTCATACTGGTGAGAAACCCTACAGGTGTGAGGAGTGCGGCAGGCAGTTTAGTCAGCTGAGTAATCTGAAGACTCATATGCGGACTCACACTGGAGAGAAACCCCACAAGTGTAAGAAGTGCAGCAAGCAGTTCAGTCAGCTGGGTAATCTAAAAAAGCACATTCGAACTCACATTGGGGATTACAGATTTACAGAGGTTAATCCTGCTCTCGTTGACATGGCAACAACAGATAGCACAGCAGGCTTGGATGACGTCAAGAGTGGATCAGCAGGGGGGTTCTGCCAACACTGTTTCCACCCGGCAAGGAGGAAGCTGTGAGAAGTTTGGAGAGGAAACCGGGAGGCAGGACAAAGGTGTGAAAGTGTTCAGGTGTGGGGAGTGTGTCAAGCAGTTTGGTT